ACACATACACCCACACCTGCACCATCTTCTCCCACCTGTCAACCACAACATGACACGATGACGGCAACCACACAGACATATGACACACATACACCCACACCTGCACCATCTTCTCCCACCTGTCAACCACAACATGGCACAATGACGGCAACCACACAGACATATGTCTTCATGTATAACACAGATGCTGCAAGCAGCATCACCCATCAAGCATAGGTGATCGATGCTGCATAGGGACCGTCAGTGCAATATTGATGAGTTTGACTTTGGTAGATTTGTGGTATAAGAATGACGATCCCATAAACGATGCATTTCGTATGATGAAAACATAAAAAAAGCCCGTTATAACACGATAATTAGACCCAGGGGTCTAAAAAATTAAATCGCAACTGTATGGGTGTTTGTTTTAGAGAATCATAGCACTCGGATCACACAGTTCTGATAGCTGGCCATTTTTTGGTAGTGTGCAGTGAACATAGAATCTACTCAACATGCTCTAAAGTTCAGGTAAATCTGACCTGTACCACTTTCATTATATGGGGGAAAAATTGCTGACTCATTGCACCAATGTGAAAATGGCATATATATATATAATAGCTACAGGCCCAAGGCCATTTTACTGTATCGCCTGTAGCAGAGAGTAAGATTTAGTTGACATATTCTAAACGTGTAGATAAAACCATGAATCTACCTGTAAATAAAATCTACATGTGAACGATGTAAAGAAGTCTACATGCACATGAAACCTCTCTAATATGGCAGTATGGAGAGAAAATAACAACTGACAAATCACATAATAACGAAAAACCAATAGAATGAATGGTTTTCACACTTGTCTCACACTTGTCTCACACAACTCATTGTTCTGTTGTTAGTGACGTACACTAACTAATATGAAACTTACCCAGTCACAGCATGGCTCAGAACCAACTTTAGCTGCAATGCCTTGGAATATTGGTTTGATAGCTGGCCTAAACAAGAAGCCGAGAAATACGAGAATATCAATAAATATGCATATATATATTATTACTACATTGTTGCGAGGGAAGCACAAAGCTTTGGTGACCTCGAAAATCAATAATACCCTGACCTACGACAAAAAAAATGATTTTCCCAGTCCACGAATGTCTGTATTCCCTGAACAAACAGCCAATACATGTCGTTACCCTACGTGTAAAATCTGGAGAAAATAAAACTATTACTAAGGCTGACTGTGAGCGGTCTGATAAGCCAAAACCAAAGGAAAATCCACATACTATGCGTTCGTGCATGCATGTGTGTGTACGAGTGCGCTCGTGCGTGCTTGCGTGCGTGCGCTTGTGCATGTGTGCGCATGTATGTACTCCGCTATACTTGCCATGCTGCTGGAGCGCCCCCTGGCATCAGTGACGGGCCGTATCGAGCGCCGTCCTCACCCCCGCTGACGCCGCTGCCGACAAAGTGCAGTCCCTTGACGGCGAGCTCCTTACAGCGGCGCTGCGTGTCAACATACTCCGAGTTCCCTCCGTCAATGATGATGTCACCCTTCTCCAGCAGCGGCACCTGGTGGCGGGAAAACCACGTATGCTTAACGTTTACAAAACACCAGCACAGTGTTGGGGCTTTTGATAGTGTTTGTGAGTTTCTCTCTGGGCTTTCAGGCTTTTGATAGTGTTTGTGAGTTTCTCTCTGGGCTTTCAGGCTTTTGATAGTGTTTGTGAGTTTCTCTCTGGGCTTTCAGGCTTTTGTTAGTGTTTGTAAGTTTCTCTCTGATGGTTTGTTAGACTAGTGTTTGTGAGTTTCTCTCTAGGCTTTTGTTAGTGTTTGTAAGTTTCTCTCTGAGGTTTTGTTCGCGTTTGTGAGCTTCTCTCTGGCCTTTTGTTAATGTTTGTGAGTTTCTCTTTGCATTGCTGACGTGAGAACGTTTCTGAGCTGTCATCTGGTGTTCTGCAATGATTTCTGGTTTGTTGTTTTTCAGCTGTGGCATGTTGCTACCTTACCAAGACCATGTTGTGCTCTACAAGAATTAGACTTGTGACTAAAGACTCAATAATGATGACAGACCTATAGACATTAGCCCCCCTACACTTGCCTAGTAATCTCGAAAAACTGGATCTGTTGCATGAGCGCACATATATATACTACATGACCTGTCCATCTAGCTGAGTATCCAGAGAAATTATGTACTTTGATGGTGGGAAAGCCAAAGCACAACCAAACTATTGCTGGTACTGTACAGCAGTTGTAGTTTGTGGCAGATGGAAAAATCACAACAAACACATTACTATTCATGGTTGCCTCTATTTAAGGAATCTATTTCAACTCTATGGACTCCTGGGGAATACCATCAAAATATCATTAAAATTTTCATCAGTAAAGGTAGAGTGGCATTAGTCCTACAGACATAATTGCACACAGATTGCCGAAGTGTTCAGCCAACGCTTGGTTGTGCTGTTTTTGGCTAAAATCAGCAGTAACTTTATGTAAATCTCGCCACCATACATGGCCAATCAACTCATACGTGACTCAGAATAGTGGGTACTGCACTATACATTCGATTCTACACTGTTTCCTGGGTTAGTGATCTACCATTACTACCACACTACACCATGGCTAGTAGCAACCATTACTACTACTACACTGTGCGGGACTCACCAGTTTTTCTATGAATGCATCTACAGCAGCCCCTGCCTTCACCATGAGCATGACACGGCGAGGTTTCTTCAGCTTGCCAACCATCTCCTGCAGTGAGTGTGCGCCAATGACCTTTGTTCCTTTTGCCTCGTTAGCAAGAAAGTGATCGACCTTCTCCACCGTCCTGTTGAAGGCACACACCTGTCGACAAGGATACCATTTACATGCTGAGTGTGATGGAGATGGAGATGGGCAAAGGTTAAGGAAGAAGGCAGCATGATCAGGCTCATGAGATGTCTAAAGGGAAGGCTAAAGGGAATGGGATGCAAGATGTTTTGAAAATGTTTAAGAGAAAGCTAAATGAGAGTCATGAATAATTTTGTATTGCCTCTATTGGCTAAAAATGTCTCACAAACAGGAAATTCATTTCCAAACTGCGCCAAGATAAAGCTAAGCTGTGCTGTTGCTAGGCTGTTAATAAAATGTAGAATCTTTAATTATCACGATTGAATACGAATTTTCGGTTAAACTTGTCACACAATAAAATTGTGTTGTCACTATTGTTTAACCATGTAGATGGATTACCACAATGAGTGATTTTCCACGGTGGTCATTATGCCACTACCATGCCCTCTATGGGAAAGACTGATAGGAGGACAATACGTACAACAAAGCCATGATCATTCATGTTGAGAATGAGGTTCTGCCCCATCACAGCCAGCCCTATCAGTCCTATGTCAGCAGCCCTGAAGCAGATGAGTACACTATTACAGTCACATGCCAAAACAGGTGAACAATAGACACACAGTGTGGGAGTCCTTATTTCCTTTAACATTCCCTGGTAGACATTCATGAGAAAAAATTTTTTTGCTTGTTACATATACATACATGGTACTGGCACAGATGTCGGAAACTGGATGCATTTCAACTTGCCGCCATTAGTTGGAGGCTATTTCCCTCAGCACTTCCTGGATGAAATTCCAGGAAATGTATATATTCTGGCTTGCCACATAAATTCTCACATTATACAGACACACCATCAGTTGGATCAACAAGTCAGGTGGAATTTTAATGATTGCGATTAGCGTACCAATAATTGCAAAAAAAACTGAAATACAGGTTTTTGATTTTGAATAAATAGAGGTTGTTATATCATCTGAGTCGCACTAGATAAAACAGGTCATTAAACGGCATACACAACACAAACTAGAATAAAACGCATATATATAT